TCTTTTTCAACAGGCAGACATGAACCAAAAAAGGGGGGGAAAGCTTGCCATAAATCATGGAAATAATGGTATTTTAAAAGTCTAGTCTTTTGCTACTTGCAAGAAATATGATAAAATCTTGATTTTCTTCAAAATGGTCACAGGAAAATTTTCTTCTTATCAGAAAGCTGCAGCTACTGCAGTGGATGGAGAATTAAACAGCAGAGGAGCAGTGAGATTTGCGGGTTGAAAGAGCTTAGCAGGATGTGCAGTGCAGATGCTACAAACAAAAACAAGTTCTTCCAAATAAGTAAATTCAATGAACTTACTGAAAAGCTTCAGTGCATAAAAACCTGTGTTGGGCACAAGAAAAAGGCGAAAAAAATGATGATTGATAAGAATTGGCTCTTGTCCTCAAGGAGCTCAAAATCTGGGCTCTGGAAGGGAAGCTCAGAATAGGAATCATTAATGAACCATGAGGGAGGGCTTCCCTGGTGGCTCAGATGGCAAAGGGTCTGCCTGCAGTGCAGGAGACCCAGGTTTGATCCCTGGGTTGGGAAGATCCCCTGGAGAAGGAAATGGCAACCCACTCCAGTATTCTTGCCTGGGAAATCCCATGGACAGAGGAGCCTGGCGGGCTCCTGTCCATGGGTTCAGAATGAGTAGGACACAGGTGAGCAACGAACAATACAAACCACACTGGAAAGCACAGGAAAAAGTTATAGGAGCACAAATAAAGTGCTTCAAGGGCTGAAATAGATGAAAAACCCTCACACTGTCTTGGAGGCTGGAAGAGACTTCAAGTAGAAGGTGGTGTTTGAGATAGACCATATAAGAGATGCTAAGAGATGCATGCCCAAGGGAAAGAATAGAAGAATCAATAAACTGAGGATGAAAATGTGAAGAGCATGTAAGGGGAACACAGAGCAGACGGCTCGCTTTATAGGGATATAACTACATATAAAGAGAAATAACTGGAGGCAAAACTCTGATAGACTTAGAAAACTATGGGCAGCCCAGATCTGGTTAACAATGAGGAGCTCTTTGGGCTTCCCTTGTGGCTCAGCTGGTAAAGAATCCGCCTGCAATGCGGGAGACCTGGGTTCAAGCCCTGGGTCAGGAAGATCCCCTGGAGAAGGGGAAGGCTACCCACTCCAGTATTTTGGCCTAGAGAATTCTGTGGACAGTCCATTGGAGGAGTCCTTTGGAGGTTTTGATCTGAGAAACGGCATGCTCAAAGTTGTGTTTATAGCCTAACTCCCCAATCCGAAGGTGAGAGCATCAGTTGTAGAAGGATGATGTAAGTAGGATGGAGATTAAAAAATGCATGAGAAAAATTTACTGATTACATAACCAGATTCAATTTCCTTTTATTTCTGATGAAATGAATAGTTTTATAGGAAATCACTTTCTGGCTAGATAATAATTGACTTTTTAACTTCCAGTTATGTGCTATTTGGGATTAGCATGGCTTCCCTGGTGGCTCAGATGGTAAAGAATCTTCCTGCAATTCTGGAAATCCAGGTTCAATCCCTGGGTCAGGAAGATTCACTAGAGAAGAGATTCTTGCCTGGAGAATCCCATGGCTAGAGGAGCCTGGCAGGCTACAGTCCATGTGGTTACAAAGAGTCAGACATGACTAAGTGACTAACACTTTCACTTTCACTGGAATCAACATACGTGAAATAAATGAAGAATCACTATAAATGTAAGCAACACTTCATGGAGAAATAAGGGAGACAAAAGGAAAAGGACAAGAAGAGAATTATCTGTGTTAAGGATGGTTCTTGTTGCTAAAGAGAACAGGTATCAGGTGGGTCGAGTCCCCTCAGCTAGTGACACTGGGGAGAAAGGCTACACTTGGCAGGGTCTGGGTTCCATTTCCCCATTTCTGGCTCTAAATAATCTCTTTGTTCTTGGGAAAATCCCAGGTTAACTTCCATGTGATGGAAAAATGATACCTACCTTGTAGAGTTTCAGTTAAAATACTTCCCATTAAGCCTGGCCCATAGTACCTTACTGACAAATGGTAACTAAAATGTCCATGTTATTATCAATTTTTACTTACTTCTGTGATCCCATCTCCTACCACTTTCCCCACATTCACTCAGTGCCACGCACACTTACCAGGCTCATTATTGCCTCAGATTCTTTGCAGTTGCTGTTTCCTTTGCTGACATAATAGTCCCCCACATTAACACATGCAGACTCCTCTCCAGTATTCTTTTCCCAGGTCATAGGGGGCTGATCTCTTGAAGCTTTCTGAATACCGCAAATAATGTCCACACCCCTGCTTCATCTCATTTTTTGTTGTGTTCTTCATAGCACTTGTGTGTATCTAAACTTGTCTCATTCATATTTTCTATGTCTCCTTTCTTATTTCCTGGTTCCCAATGAGGGATACAAGATCTCATCAGTATTATTTTTTAATGGATCCTTGACAACAGGCCCTAGCACATAGTAGGTGTTTAAAATATATGTTTCTCTGACTATTGACAGAAATAAACTATGTAACACACAGAAACCACCCAGGACATGGCGACTATTAAATCAATGTTAGTTCCCACCCACTGTATGGGTCCAGAGAATGGCTGCTCCAAAGTGAAGAAAGACAAGATGAAAGGAAAACAAAAGAAGGTACATTTGTCCAAGGTTAGTTTTTGAGCCCAGTTTTTGAAGTCTAGTTCTCTGCCTTGACACAGCAGATGCTTCACAGGAGGTGAAGGCTCAGGTGGCCATTCTCGATGGATGTTTCAGGAGATGAGGCCTTTTCTTCACGGAGGAAGAGGTTCTGTAAATAAGTTCAGTTCAGTTGCTCAGTTGTGTCCGACTCTTTGAGACCCCATGAATCGCAGCATGCCAGGCCTCCCTGTCCATCACCAACTCCCGGAGTTTACTCAAACTCATGTCCATCGAGTCGGTGATGCCATCCAGCCATCTCAGCCTGTCATCCCCTTCTCCTCCTGCCCCCAATCCCTCCCAGCATCAGGGTCTTTTCGAATGAGTCAACTCTTCGCATGAGGTGGCCAAAGTATTGGAGTTTCAGCTTCAGCATCAGTCCTTCCAATGGACACCCAGGACTTATCTCCTTCAGTATGGACTGGTTGGATCTCCTTGCAGTCCAAGGGACTCTCAAGAGTCTTCTCCAACACCGGAGTTCAAAAGCATCAATTTTTCGGTGCTCAGCTTTCTTCACAGTCCAACTCACATCCACACATGACCACTGGAAAAACCATAGCCTCAACTAGATGGACCTTTGTTGGCAAGGTAATGTCTCTGCTTTTTAATATGCCATCTAGGTTGGTCATAACTTTTCTTCCAAGGAGTAAGCATCTTTTAATTTCATGGCTGCAATCACCATCTGCAGTGATTTTGGAGCCCCCAAAAATAAAGTCTGACAAGTGTGATTCTGAGGAAAGTCATCAGGAGAAATGGCTCACAGGAATCTTACAAATGTTTTAGAAAGATAAAGAAGAAAGGAAAAGCCAAGCACCATCACAGACTTTCAGTGGAGAGTGCCTTATCCAGCTGCTTAAGGTTTTTAGGTGTCAAGAAATCTCCTTCCAGCAATGGATTGTAATGAGTAGAGATGAGGAAACCCAGATATACCTGTTCTCCATCCTACTTCAAACTATTGCAATGGAGTTCCAGGTAAATCTTGTGTGTGAAGAAAGAGCTTTTATTTGAAAACCTAATTCTTGCCCACCCTCTGCATTTCATATGTGAGATGATGGTGGCCCCAAGGATTAAACAGAAGAACTGGGGTGAGTACACTGCCCCTGACTGCTGATGGGGGTCTTTCCATCACCCCATTCTCAGAACAGTTAGGACCTGAATTTCACTGACTTATATTCTGGGCCTCAAATTCCAGGAACTCCAGAATCCTGAGCTGTTCATGACACAGAAAGAGGAGGCACATGATTAACACCTCAATTCAAGACCAGTGAATATACACTATAACCACCACGCTGACTTGATGGCTCCTATGGAGTATGCCCTGAGAGTGGCTGGGCTGAAGCCTTCCCCATGCTCTTCTTGGGATGACCCATGTAAGAGAGATACGTCTTAGTACTTGAGGCTGACAAAGGTGACAGGCAGACAGGCAATATCACATTATCTAGGAGTCCTAGGCTTCTGTCTTTACCTTGAAGAAAGCCTGATGCTGAGACAGAAAATTCTCCAGCGTCAAACATCCAAAGCTTCTGAGGGGTGAGTTGGGCTATGAGACAACAGAGAAGTTGCAGAGAACTGAGGCATAGGATTGACTTTGGCATTTTATTGTATACTCAAAATCCTCCTAATAGTTTTAAGACATTAGATTTCCCTCCATATATAATTCTATAACATGTAAGGAATGCACAAATATAAACATATGTATTTTATTAATGTTTATCAATAAATAGAATTTATCAACTAAGAAAACAAGGCTCCTGTTTTTCCTAGAACATATTCTTGGGAACTGCATCAAAAAGTGGATTGCATCATAAAGCCTAGGGTATAGGAACAAATTAGAATCAGGGGTCCTAGTACTTTAAAGCTTTAGCTTCAAATACATCATATGTATAAGTAACAATTTCATAAAACCAAAATATAACCATCATTAAAACTTGCAAGTCTTTGAAGATATATATTTAAATCCCATGTTCTGTATAATGGACACACATGTACTTTATATGTTGATTACACAAGGGGACTTAGTTTGCTGGATAATGCATGAGTGGCCCCACTTGTAACTCTGCTTTATTAAAAATGTAAACAAAATGAAGGTGCTATCTAGATAACACTAAGTGATAATTAACAATAATTTACATAGATTATCAGATTTTTTTAAATCTCAAAATTATTTGCTTCAGTATCTCAGTAGACTCTTTATATAACATTATCAGCTTATCATTTGTGATTTAATTCATGTTGGAGGGTTCTTTTCATATATATATTAAATATATATATATAGAGAGAGAGAGAGAGAATTAACAGTATGGGAACTATTTCGATGACCCAAATCTTTGTCTACATAAATGTTTTCATGGCAAAAAGGTATATGAATTTATTCCATGTGACTCTGAAGGTACATGAAAAATTAGGCTCATTATCACAAAATTCAGACTGTAGTCCTCATCTCTCTCTACCTACCTCTTTACTTTGAGAACAACAAAATCCCTTCAAATGAGAGTGTTTGTGCTGCACAAATCTGCAGTGTTGGTGTGTTTTGGGTAGCCTAGAATAATCAAATGCAGAAGGCTAAATTTGGGAGAATGGATCCCCAAAAAGATGATCCCTTGGTATTGTTTTTCAGTATAGAAAGCTGACTCTCTAAATTGGTCCACCTCTTGGTGAAGAAATTCTTAGACTTTGACTACCCAGGAGCACTCAAAGTAATTCAAAGTGATAGTAAACAAAATGGCACTTTATGATTTACAGAACATCTTCACAAAAATTATCTAATTTATCTCCATAACAGCTTCATGAAGGAGGCAGGAGAGATTGTTTCTGAGGCCAGAGAGGTACAGTTACTAGTTCACGGTCACACAGTGAGTCACAGCAATTGATTCAGGGCCCATGCAGCTTCTCTTCTTCCTCATCCTTACTGCACGTTCATGGAAGTTGTGGACAGTGTGGGCAGCAGCCCAACAGATATAGTGTGAGTTTCACTGCCAGGTTCAGGGCCTTGCAGTTCAAAACCTTGCTGATCTCTCCTTTGTATTAGAGGAGGATCATCCTCCTAAAGGTGGCGGCCTCCTAAGCTCCAATCTTGTTAACGGCAGAGGGACAGTGACTTAAAAAAGCACAGACAGTTGGTCCATCCAAAGTCAATGTTTAAGACAGGACTTAGATAAACTTTCTTCATATATGATGAGACTAGGTCCCCAGATGAATCTGCTCCCACTGATCAGTGACAACCCCAGGCTACACCAGGAGCATTTCAGCATGGCGCAACTTTCTTAACAGCATTTGGCAGTTCCAAGTCACATTTCTCATTAGAGTCTTTTCCTGTTCATAGCAAGTGATTTTCTCCACAAAAAAAAATTGTAAGCCTTTGCAGGACTCAGAATTTTTCTTTTTTTTTTTTTTGCATTTGGATTGTTTGACGGCAATCTTTTCTTTCTCATTCCAAAGTCTCTTCCAGGCTGGTGCAATTCCAGAAATAAAGTAAACATCAGTGGAAATGATACCTGACTTCTTAAACAGAAGGAACAAGGAGAGTATGATGAAGTCCTGAGATGCTATCAAACCACAGCCAAGACCAAAGTGGACACCTCACAGGGCTCTGGGATGTGGCAGTGTTTACCTCCCTGGGACCTTCACTCTGGGACAGGTAGCAAGAGCTGTGAACTCAGTTTTGAATGAAAAACATCCAGGTTTATCTGAAGGGCAAAGCTGGCAAGGTCAAAGGTCTAGAAGGCCCAGATGAGCCGGCTAGTTCCTTTGAAACAAAGTCAAAAGGCAGGCAGGTCACACCTTTTCGAGGTAGCTGATGGCTATAGCAGCATCCTGTTGTCATAGAAACAGAAAGGAATCTTAGAGATCCCCTGGTCCAAACTTCAGTTGATAGATGAAGAAAGTGAGGTACAGGGAAGGAAGGGCATGGGTCGCGATCTCACATCCTGTTAGAAGTGGAGCCAGGGCTGGAATCTAGTTCCTCTGGCTTCAAGTGAAGTGCTGTTTTTCCACCCTAAGCACTGCTTGGTCCTGCTCCTCCACCTGGGGAAACTGCAGTGAGTGACAAGTCTTGGCAGCGTGAGCCTCCAACAGTTCTCTCCTTTGGAAGAAGCAAGGCCAGATTCAAGGGTTATAAATTGGTACCATGGACTTTGCCACAAGCTCACGAGAAAGATTCCAAAATCTTTCAATAAACACTATGATGCCGCTGGTCTTGCCCAAGGCTCTCGAGGAAATGGTTTGTTCTAGGAAAGTGAGCATCTCAGAGCAGGAGGGCTTGAGGCCATGGGACTGATGGGGAGCCATCTATCTTCTGCTTCCCTCCGAGGTTGCTGCAGAAATGGTTTTCCTCTGAAAGATCGTTGCCCTGTTTCTTCCATGGTGAATAATTGTAGCATGTCCTGAAGAGAAGGACTGACACGGACATAAAGAGCAAGTAGAAGTCTGTGATGGACACAGGAAGACGCACAGTTGGACCCAGACTCTGGTGGAAAGTGTATTAGTGTCTGGCATAGAGCAGGACAGAGATGAGCCAGTGAGTAGTCTGAACATGGCTGTGACAGACACAAACAAGCAAGAGATGTGTGCTTTTGGAACAGAACTCTGACCAAGGCAGGCGCAGGGAGGATGTGTTTTGGCAGTGCATGTGAGCAGGCCCAACAAAGAAGGAATATTTGGAAACGTCTATGATTGAGATAGGACACAGTGAGTGATCATGTTTGGAACATGAGCAAGACAAACCAGGCATAGTAAGGGTATATACTGGGGACAACAGAGACTATGAGGCAAGGGTGACTATGAGGCCGGAAAGAGGGAGTGCTAGGAAACAAAAAGATCCCTTCCAGGGGGATCTCTGGAGAAGAGCCTCCCAGTGAACTAGGGGGCCATCCTGTCCCCTGCCACCTGCTGGAATCCTGGAGGAAAAGCTCGATGGGCACAGGGTGCCTGCACCAACAGATGGAATGCTGGGTGAAGAGGACAGCGGGTGCAGTCGTGCGTAAGCAGCAGCTTAGGACCTGGCCCTCTCCCGGAGGGCTGGCTGTCTTCAGGGTCACTGCCCCAGGGGCCTAAGTGTCACTGGGCTGTGCGGCCACCAAAGGAGAACTTGCTGGGGGGTGGGACTGACTCTCCCATTGGCCACCACATTCCACCGCATCCCTAGAGAGGGGAGAAGACCACAGAACCTCAGAGTTGGAATGGACAGATAGTCTGGGGCAAGAACCCACCCACTGCAGGAAAGCCTCGTGTGCCACGTGGACGGGTGGTTGTTTAGCCCCTGCTTAGGAATCTCCCCTGACCCACCAGGCCACATTAATTTTGAGCAACTTTAGTTATTGGAAATAGCTTATTAATGTTCTGCCAGAATGAGCCTTCCTACAGCTTCTACCTAGTGGAACTACTATGCCCTCCAGGCCCACTCAAAATTCTTCTCTCTGCTAATTATATCCCCCAAGTTTTCTCTTCTCCAGGCTACACATTTCCATTTTCTTTAAATAGTTCATTATATATTATGGTTTCCAGATGATTGCCCATAATGGTCACTGTCCTCTAAACACAATCCTTATTAAAATTATCTCTCTTGGAATACAGAACCAGGAAAGAGCCCAAATCTACATACTGAATCTGATTTATGTCACAAACTTTTCATCAATTTAGTTTACTTCTATGGATGTGATTAACATTAAGTTCCTTTCTGACAATGATAATATTCTATTGGCTACATGTTCAGTTAATTGCCAGGTTTTATCTTTTTTGATACAAACAGCTGTCAATTCCTGAGGTTCTTTACTACACTGGTGCAATTTTTATTTATATGTATATTTGTTTATTTACTCATTCACTTATTTTGCCAAAATATAGGACATTACATTTGTCTCAGTTTAATTTCATTTTATTGATTTGGTATCATTTTAGTCACTTGAGATCATTCTAAATCATAACAATTTCAACATTCAAGATAGGATCATTTAGCACTGACTCAAGTGAGATTTTAAGGCTTCTACAAGCACATAAGAAGATCAGATATTCAGGATAGGGGGACACATGTACACCCGTGGCTGATTCATGTCAATGTATGGCAAAACCCATCACAATATTGTAAAGCAATTAGCCTCTGATTATAATAAATAAATTAATTTTTAAAAACATGTGAAAAAAAAAAAAGAAGATCAGATAACTATTGCTACCTAGATCTTTCAGTTTAGTATCATTTGTCTTTTAGATATTCAATTTTCAGTCAAGAGAAAAAAAAAACTATTGATCACACAGGGATAAACCAGAACCCTGTGGTACCCCAACACAGACTAGCCTCCCAGCAAATGGGTAATCATCAGTGTGCCTGAGAATGGACCCACCTACGGAAGGCTTTGTGCAATGCCTTGCTGAAATGTCTCTGTCAAGCAGTAAGTCTCTCCTAATAGATAATGAAATGAGTTGACATGAATTATTTTTTAATGAGACAACACTGACTCTTGCATACATACCATTTGTGTAATAATTGTTTTCAATTTTTGGTAAGGTCTATTTCAAGTTGTGAGGCTACAGTTTCTGGAGTCTACTTTATTCTTTCTTTAAGAACTAGGGCAATATTTACTGATCTCCAGGCTGCTATCAAACCCTGAATCCACAAAAGAGCACCAGTCAGAGGTCTCATCAATCAGTTCCTTTAATCCCCTGAGAAATATTAATAATACATCTTGGCTCAGAGACAGTTAAAAGCTTTCCATAAATCTCAGGCAGCAACTTTCTCCCTGTGATGTTCTCTTCTTTCCAGTTGGAAGACTATTCTTACTGAAGCAGAATATGTAAGATTTCTTCCCTAAATAATGAGAGCTAACTATTTTTGGGTTTTCTACTTGCTCTGAACATAGCTATTGATTCATCCTTAGTTATATTTTCCTTCGTTCAGATTTTTCACATGCCATTTTCAAGCATGAGCTCCCTAGAAAAACTCAAAATGCAACCTCATGTCTTTACATACCCCTTGTGTTTTCCTCTGTTTTATTCACTGAACATATCTCTTAAAAGAAAGACTCACTGAAGAGAAAGGAAGAAAGAAAAGGAGAGAAGGAAAGAAGGGGGGAAAGGAAAGAGGGGAGAGAAGGAAGGGTTTCTCATTTCTCACTGGCCAAATTCCCTTTGTATCATACTTTTTATTATTATTAGCAACAATAAAAACAATCACTCATCAGGGTAGCATCTGTGCACCGGGACCTGGGCTAAGTGTGTTATATGCATTCATTAGTATAGTTTAAACCCATTTAACAGACACAGAAACAGAGTTTCAGAGTTAAATAATTTGCCCAAATTTATTCAGTTAATAAGTAAATCAGACCTTAAAAAGTCTGGTCAGTTTTGATTCCAAAATCTGGACCCTGAATTGTCCCGATACACTGTTACTCATCATCTTAAGAAACATTACTGCTAAGTTCAGGGTTCAGGTTCTGTGTCTCCAGCATTTCCATGTCCCATTATGATGGACTCTAGGGTAAAAGGAATATGCACATGGGTGTACATTACTTCTACTCCTCCTATGGGAAGCATACAGTATGATGTGTCTTCTTCTTTTACTGAAACACAGTGTGACTGGGACACTAATTCGGAACTCTTTCCTCTTGCCCACTAAAGGAGCATCTTTGCCAAGAGATGCACATATTTTCTGTGATGCAGAACCAGGGAGACTAGGTGGAAAAGGAAAAAGAAACTGTGAAGTCAGGATAGCAGAGAGGGTAAAGGAAGGGGTTAAGTGAGTAAACATAACAAAGAATGAGCAGAGGGGATGGAAGACAGAGCAGGAAGACCTGGGATAAACAGAACCACTGAGTTGGGTGTGTGGAAGTCTCCAGAACAGTTGTGGAGCTTGGGAGGAGGTTCTTTGAGAAGTATCTCCAACAGGTTACACTGGTTCTCTCATATAATCCTTCCAGATAGTCAATTAATGATTGAGACTTCTGCAGAATTGCTATTGGATGCTTGGTAACACTCCTTTTTATCCAGACAATATCAATATAGCTCTTGTCAAGGGGAGAAGAAAGGAAAATATCCCAGCCTCCTAACTCCATGGAGAACTCATAATCCACTCCCTCTCAGCAGGAAAAAAGGAGACCTGAGAATAATGAGGGGGTGATCTTGTGTCCTGGTTGGCCTGTGTCAGCCTCAGTTTACACTATTGTATGAATCACAATTAAAGGTTTAAAGTCTTCTCCTTTACAGGTCTTCATTCAAGATACAGAATCATGGGGCAGTATGCTGTCCCCCAAGAGATATTGTTCCCACATCTGTCCATGGAATCTTCCAAGCAAGAATATTGAGGTGGGTTGTCATTTCCTACTCCAGGGGATCTTCCCAATCCAGGGACTGAACCCACATCTCCTGCATCTCCTGCATTGGCAGGTAAATTCTTTACCACTGAGCCACTGGGAAGCCTCATACAATGGAAACATGAATTTAACAGTCAGTGAATACCTTTCACTTTCAACTGCAAGGCCACCCTATTAACTAAGCAATGCAAACAGTAAACCAGGAGACAGGAAGCTAGATTCTGATGTTTTTTTATCCTCCAGTCATGGCATGCCTCTGATGACTGAGTCCCTTTCCTGTGCCTCATTTTCGTCATGCATTAAACCAGGAAGATAATCTTTGACATTCTGGTTCTATGAGTAGCAGAGATGGTGGGTGACAGATACAGACCTTCTGACTGGGCACCAGCTGTGTGTGGGACTGTTCTCCAAAGCTGTGGGTATTTGAATTTGGCTTTTAATATTCTATTGTTAGTATCTGATACTTTATATTCTGTGTGGAGGGAGGAGGTTTCTCTGGAAACACAGGAAGATAATTTTGGGATTTGTATTAAAGAATCTGAAATACCTCAATTTCTGAATCTGTGAAGTCACAGTGCAAAGCTGTTAAATATATCTGGCTAGGATAGAACAGGGAGGGGCCAAGATACCGCAACTTAAAATGCAGCGAGATCACAACTGTCTTTCCTCAAACATATGCTTGATCAGAAACATTGGCAGAGCCACTCAAAACCCCCGATGCAAAACACCATTAAAAAAAGAATCTCTGATATTTTAACAGATGAGTTTTTAAAATGCAATTTCTTGTTTTAATAGTTTTAGTAAAATCCTCTACAATCCATGAAACATTCTTATATCATTATATCATTCCACATATAACCTTCAATGTAACTCTGTAAGGAAGGCAGGTAGGTACAATGTAGGGGCATGGATTGACTGATAGGTAATAGTGGATTTAGTGCTATAAATCAGGTGGCCTGCCTCCCAAATCAAGAATTCTGTCCACTGGGAAACATGGAAATCATTGTACGGTGGGAAGAGCTTTGTGATGAAGTTTAATATGAATGGTTAATGAGACAGAGTTAAAATTACGATTGTTCCAGAAGAAGAGGGAAAAGGAGGAAGAGAAGGAAAAAGAGGAAATGAGGAGAAAGATCACTAAGTCATCTTTCACAAAACTGTCCAGAGACTGTGTGCATCAGAGTTATCTTGAATACCCATAACAAATCCAGATTCTTAGGACTCACACACCAGACCTCTAACGACAGCGTGGGAGTAGGGAGTGGGGAGAGGGCAGAGGTGAGGAGGGGAGAGCAGAAACCTGCATTTTTAAAAGGTGCTTTCATATTATTCTTGGGCACATGGAAGTGTAAGATTCCCCGAGGAGGTGAATGTCCAGTTATTCTACTCACACCCGAAGCAGAGTTTAGCAACAGAAACAAAGGGAAGAGAAAGGACATGTGAATAGGAAAAACTAGAGTTTGAGGCATTCAAGTGATTCTTCATAAGGAACCAAAAAAAAGCATTGAATTGCATGCAAACAGTTCGTTTTAGCTGAGTAGAAAAGTGGTATTTGCTGGCTTTTATGACATTGATGATAAAATGAGGAAAGATTTGGTGATGAATCATAAAAATGAGATAGCAAAAAATGTAAATGCACAAAAAACGAGTTGCACAAAGCAATATTTTTAAGGTGTTTTTTATGTGACGAAAAAAAAGAATGACTGGGTACAACTAACTGATAAAAACTAATAGAACTGTTTATAAACTGTGAGCATATAAACTTGTACTGAGTTATTAGTAAGTTTAATGGCCCAGAAGGTGACAGTCTAGGCCAATTTCTTCATTTGTCTTTAGAAC